TTTTGTTTACTTACTTAGAAGACCAAGTTACAAGCCACTTCTACAATTATACACTTCACTAACACCTACATCTATCTAACACAGACTATTACAGTTATACAACTAAATACTTTTTATTTATAAAAAACTATAGCTTATTACAGTACTTGATGACCAAATCATTACTAACAAAGCCAGAAGGCAACCTTTTGCATCTGGATCTATTCTTATTATCTACTAGCAATATAATATTAAATTACAATTTACTTAACTTTCAAACAATTGCTAACAAATATACAATTGTTATTTCTACTAATTTCTCAACTCGATTTTTGATTCAAGTTAACACTTACAACAAAACTTTTAATTTTAATGTTAATTATCTTAACCTTATATACTTTATTGCAATTTAACATTCTATTCAAATTTCAGATCTTTCAAATATTACTATCACTATACAACCAATTTTTATAATTTTTGAACCTAGTTTATTTATATATAACTTTTAACAAATAGCTAACTATAATACTAATCTATCAAAACTTTATTTTTACAAATAATTCTGTTATTGATTTGGGTACTTCACAATACTCTATAGTTATTAGATGAACCCAAATTTTTAATAACTCTATACTATATACATTTCAAGTTCAAGCAAAACTTGCATCTTGTTCATTTAAAGCTAAACTTATTGTTATTCTATTTGCTCTTATTATGGCTCTTAGAAATAGTATTATAAATATATATACAGATTCTCAATCTGTAATTTTTAAATACCAAAGCATTTTAAACTCTTTTACAACTTTATTTTATACACATATATCATATTTTTTACTATAGAACTTATTAAATTTTTTTTTTTTTTTTTTATTTATTTAAGGCCAATGTTATCAATAGTTACCATCTTTATTTGTGTTTTTGATCAATGCATTACATGTGACTTGTACAAGATAAGTATGCAACTAGCCATATATGTAACTTTTGGTTACCTATTTAAGTAGTCTACTCAAGGGTTCTATACTAGCTGCCATGTCTGTAATCTACTAGAAGAGTATTTATTTAAATACTCAGATCCTTATACTATACTTAGATGAGTAACATCTGATTCTCATACAACTAAGTGCTGTCTAACTCAACATTTAGCCATCCTCTTTTGTACATTTGTTAAGCCATTAAACATTCTAAAATACATCATCTGACTGTAAGATTCTAGAGTACCTTCTTGTTAACTACCTATTTACTCTATAAAATATTAATAAGGTTAGCCTTTGTAGAGTTTACTCAAACCCTAGCACCTACTTTATAGCATATCTCTAGTACTTATAGTATATCTCTGCTTTGACTCCAGACTCCCAATTCAGATAGCTCAGTAGGACTGTGACCTGTTCTTAATATATTAAGCCAGCCTGATATTTTTTTTCTTAGTTTGGTTCTGGCAGCCTGGTTGATGATACCTCTCATCTGAGGTTCTTGTCCATTCAGCTATTCCACATTGGTATCTGTTTTCTAGGTTTAGCCTTTACAGTAGTACTGTTAAAGATCTGTATTACCTCTCTACTCAGGTCTTTCCAAGTAGGCTCTGGTTTCCCAATTCTATGGATTTACACAGCCACAAGAACTTATCTTAGGTTTGCACTGCCCAGTACTGGTTTGCATTTTTTTGTGTAACCAAGGTTATACAGATGCTCTGTGACCTGCTAGTCATGCAGGTATAACCATAATTACAGATATCCTATCCCAACTGATTGACAGAATACTATTACTATAATACCATCTATGTATTATATAGGTGATTATTCAAATTTTTGCTCTTAATAGGTTTTGAACTCACAACCTATCAATTAGAAGGTTGACAACTTATTTACTTCACTAAGTTGCCACACCCCAAACTTATTAATTAATTTTGTTAACTTATACAAAATTTAAATTATTTTTTACGAAGTTACTGCATATTAAGATAATATATATAACAACTTTGTTAACCAACTAGCATGAAACTATTATAATCTACTATACTTAACTTTTAAGTCTTATAATATTTATAACTCATCTTATACTCTAAATCTTAAAAATTTTTTTTTAGAATTACCTACTCATTGCAACATTTATACAATTTGTCATATACATATTTATGCACTATGAACTATACAAAATTAATTTTAAAAATAAAACAAAATCTTTAACCAAATTAATTGGCAAATCACTTGGCTATATATTAACAATAATCAAAAAATTTTAAACTTTTTACATAGCTTTTAATCTTCTGCTCTTAAATTCTTCAGAATTAAAACTCTACTTAATAATCTTTCTATTTTATACATTTTGCACAAACAATATTACTCATATTTACCAACTTGTCATTAATGCCATGAAACTAGTTTCCACCTTTATTAGATAATATGTTCATTTGACCAACTGCTATACAATCTTATTAACAGTTCATTATAACATATTTTAAGTACAAATATACTTGATATTACTTTTGAAACTATAACTAAACTATATCATTAAATTAGATAACTGTATTATATAACTATATACAATACAGTAGATCTACCATCAGTCTTTTCAATCTTATTAGGCTTAGTGCCAAATAAAATTATCTTTATTATCTTAAACTATTATTATAAAAAATAGCTATAACACTTGTTATTAAATTTTTACTTTATTTTAATTAACAAATATATTTAGATTTCTTATTGTATTTCAAGATTAACATCTTATTTTTTTATTTTTAACTTATTCTCTAACCTACTTTACATTTATCTCAATCTTTTCTTTCTAATTTAATTCACTTTAAAATTAACTTCTAGTATATATAATAAATCAAATATTAAACTAACCTTTTATATATAATTACTAACACTCAAATTTAAGTAAATTTTGACTATTTCTGTTGGTTTAGGTTACAGATAAACTATTTTGAGCTTTTACTCTTTTTATAATATTTTTAAAAAAAGTAAATTTATACTTTATATAAAAATTTTAAATAAATATTCAATAAAGATAAAGACATAGCCTTACTATTAGTATAAAAAAAAATTTATAAAAAAAAATATAATAAAAACTTATTTTAAAATGCAAACAAATTGAAATAAATCAAATTAGAAGTTTTAATGCTTACTACTACTATATAATATAATAACTAATTTTTTAAAAATAAAATATATACATATTAGAAATATTTATATAAAAGTAATATTTTAATATATATATTATTATAATATATAAAAAAAAGAAAATATTAGTTATATTAGAAAAAGTTTTAAAAAAATAAACATAAAATTAATTAAAAAGATTTTTAAAAACAGATTTATTAAATAAATATTAATTTTAATTATGAATACGACAAAAATATTATAATCAAAAATTAATAAAAAAGAAAAAAAACAACTTAAAGTAATATATATTAAAAAAAATAAAAAATAAAAATAATAAAAAATACAAAAAATTTTGAATAAAAAATAAATAAATAAATAAATATTTTTATTTTATAAATAAGAAATTTAAAAAACTTAAATTATTTAATAATTTGAACTTGCTAAAATTATATATTATTTTGATATACAAATATACTAATACTTATAGTTTCTACTTGACATTATTATTAAATAAAAAAGTAAAAAATTAATGATTTGAACTTGTTAGTAAACATAAACAGAAACTAAAATACATATATAAAAGAATTAAAAATATATATATATTAAGAATTAAAAAATTTAAGTATAATGCTTTAGTAATAATTAAAACAAAAAAATATAAAAAAATTTTTTCCTAATTTTTACTAATTGAAAAGAACAAACTTATAAGAGTAACAAAAATATAAAAAAAAACTATAACGCAAAAGAGAAACAAAATTTATATATAACAAAACTAACAGATTTGCTAAAAAATACTTTAAAGATTTTATTATTGTAATGTTTAAAAAATAACCAAAATTAGTTTAAATTTTATTAAACGAAAATAATAATAATAAAAAATTAGTAATAATTATTTCTGTAACCAAAAAAATTAAGACAACACAAACTAAACCAAATATATATAATAATTTTTGAGTATTTAATCAATAGATAAAGAAAAAAGATTTAGAAATAAAAGAAAGCACAGATAAATTCTAATACAGAAGACTATAAAAGTAACAGAAGTCAAAAAACCCAGAAATATAAAAATAGAAAGAAGAATAAAGAGGATCAAAACATATATGGTCAACTTTAAATGCAAGATCTCTTTAACAAATACAAACAGACTTAAAAAGCTTGAAACACAACATGAACAATCAGATGCATTTATAGAAAGTCTTACTTTAGGTTATACAAAGTTAATTTTCTGATTTTCAAATTATTAAAACTTTTGAATAGATCCCCAGCCACTTGGCTTTTTTTTTGAAAAATTTTATATATAAAAACTTTATTAAATATTTACCAGGTTATTGTATATAGATATAATTTTTTAAAAGTTTTATATTTAATATATATAATAAATGCAGTAAAAACAAATCAAATTTGAAATCTAAAAAATTGACCCGGTCGGAATATGAAAATCAAAAAAATTTTTTTGCTTTCCCTTACTATATGACTTACTTATAAAGATATACGTTTGCAAAAATACATTATATGAACAATTTGGTATTTAGAAATACCGATACCGTCAAACCCGAAATAGGTTTTGAGAATTCATGAAATTACAATAACTTAACACAAAAATTATAAACTACCAATCATACTTGTAACTTTGAGCATTATATTTTTATCAAAATCTTTATTGCAGACCTAAAGTTATAGCAAATAATATTTTTGGCTATAAAATTAGCCATTGATCCATCAGATTTATTTTCACGAAATTCTATAAAAGTTTTTTTTTTCGTGAATTCGACCAAGACTATTATTCGCGCGAACAAGTATGTACGACAGATAAATTTTAGAAGCAAGTACTGTACGACAGATAAATTTTAGAATTAGGAAGACTTTGTCATCCATTATGATATACCGATACATGCACTATTAGACATTATCGAAGCAAACATGGAGACAAAAAGGGTTGAAAATTCTATGCTTTACTTGGTCAAGGCTGTAATTATGTAATCATGTTATGTAATAATTTATTTAGACCCTGTAGTATTAAAAACCTAATGCGAATGTACGTAGGTATGTACGTACGTACATGACTTATCTTTATATAATCCCACGCCCTTGGCTTATCATATTATACGCATGCATTTCTTACCAAAAAAAGATTTCTGAAAATCTTTTTTGCCATTTATACTGCATGATTAAATGCTAGTTGAAAATCATAAGACTTCGCATCTTTACTGTCGTTCTGTCTTGCTAAATGCATTAATTAAGGTTTCACACTATGCTAATTAAGCGCTGCCGGCTGAATTTTTGTAGAGCTTTTTCGTTTTCATAATCAGAGGCATTTTTTACTTGATATTTTTGCCTGGAGCTCGAACTAGTCACGAAGTCATGTGTTTATCCCACACAGAATCTATGTTTAATGTGATTATTAACCAATCAAACCCTCTATTTTATCCCGTTCGTTCTATTTCACATGCCGATAGAAGTATTCACCATACTTGCGGAAAGTTCTTACGGACAATACGGATAGTAAGCAATCATGGGATAATTTAGAATTGGGTCCGTAAGTACTGCCCGTAGGCAATGGCATATGTAGGTTTGTTAGTACACAGTGTGATTTCATAGACAAATTTTAAGTCACAGGCGCGTTACTTATGATTTTAAATTTTGATTTGCCCAGTGAAATTTTTTAGGCAGAGATTAATTACACGATATCGTACTTATATGAAACCGCAATAATAATATCAATTATCTTCAAAAGCGATAGAATAAACGTGATATCTATTCATATAGTAATATTATATGTTTAAAATTCCTTTGACATGGCTAATGGAGCTAATAATGATAGTTGCATCATCTTGTTTGTAGATTAATTCATGTAAAATATTTATTTTTTATTATATTCATTTAACGACATGAAAATAATAAGCATATAGTTTATTCTGTTCTTACAAAAGCCTCGTGAATAAGTATATCACAAATCTAGCATTTCCGGATAATAAAAGCGAATTCGAAAATAAATTTGAAGGTTTGATTTTTTTTTTTGGTTTCTTTTGCCGGAAAGCTAATACGATCGAAAGAAAGCGTATACGATTTACTGATAACGATTTGTTTTTTTTTATCGAAGAAAAATTATGAAAAGATAAAAAGGCCGGTACGGAATAGAGATATTAATGCATAAAATGGAAATCTTCACGAAAAAGATTTGTCCATATTTTAAAGCTTATGTTGAGAATAAAATCCTCCCTGAATATAAATCAAAAATCGATTTTTCCCCAAGTCATGAATATAAAAGACAACTATTTAGAAACGATCAGTAGCCAGTACGCAACCATTTCTTATTGAAAGAAAACGAAAACGAGAGTAGAATAGTAGGATTCTATGACAATCGACAGATTGGGTTATGACATAAAGTTCGACCTGCATTAAAAAAAGTTGCACATGGATCTTTTAGGTTCGAGATCAATAAGACGTTCGTTGATCGAAATTTCGAATAAAATATTTGCGAGATTTACTTACTCTTAAAAGTCAACGTGCTAACAAACCATAACCTGACCGCAAGTAGTTAAGTGTTTGGGAGATCAACATTCTATAGATCTTCAATTGTATGCTGGATAGTCTATATAGTGCTTACGGATAGGATATGGAAAGAATTCTATAATGATTTATGCATTCAACGATAATGCCGATGTTCATAGTAGATCAAGAGAGTGAGTCGAAGAAGATGGAAATAGAATTTAAACATTATTGGAAACGTAAAAACGAAATTATGCTAAGTATTTATTATGGAAATCAAACTGTTAGCGTGTAAATTTTTAAAAGTCAATCGCGGAAGTAATGAAAATCGTCAAAATACCGTTAAAAAAGGTGCAAAGTTTTTTCGACGCTAAAAATTTATTTCCATCTATAATAATCATCGATTTGTCAACCCAAACCAAAACGAAGATAAGAGGTTGCAAAAACGGAAAAGATGAATGATGTTAGGTATTTAAACCGTTCATCGTCTATATCGGATGTATTGGGAAGAATGAGGAAAGGAAAAAACCCAATCTTCGAAAAAGACCAAAGAATCGAACGCATCGTATGAACTGAATTAATCAGATCATTGAAATAAATTTCAACCGGAAAAGGTCCGCAATTTGTATAAAATTCGCGTCTTTTTTTTTTTTTTTTTTCTTTTTATTTTACAGGTCAAAAAAGGATAAAAACATCAAACCAGACAAATTCAGTCCTATTGTCGTACCGCATGAGCATGGCTAACATCGATATGGGAGTATGTAATTAACATGTCTGAGGACCGATCAACTAATCGGGAGTACCTTGACAGCTAAGGCTAATGTCAAAGTTTATACTACATTATGCATAAATATACCCTTTTTTTTTCTGTAGAATACGATAAAATAACGATTTATCATCTTGACAATCAAATTACGTAAATTGGCTAAGTAATCAAGAACTTCTGCTGTGGCTAGGTTTTGTGTACACAACTTTAGCATTTGTGATAATTTTAGTAAACATTTCCTGCAGCTTTCTGGAAGAACATTTGCTATTGCTACTATTTTGTATATCAAGCTTTCGGGACATTAGATCGCTCAGCAGTTTCGCGCCAAAAAGTTTATAAATAAATATACAATATACAACTTGGGAATGCAAATATTCATTATACTTCTTAAGGATATCCAGAATTTCGAACGGAAATTGGGTTATCAATATTTATTATGGAGGCTAGTTCATTCATAATCTGCAAAATTGGACTTTCTATAAACTCGTTTGGTTGGCGTAAATTAAAGTAGTTCGTAATCGTCATACAGTTTTATTTTTATTTATACTGTATCAGTGGTGCTTTAACATCATCCGAATGTTTCAAAGATCAACCATTTATCCGAATAGTTTACTCTTTGAAGGACAAATTTATGGCTAGCCTACGAAAATTATTACGAACATTACGGAACAAAAACAGGCAAAATGTATGCCGGGACCTGTTAGCACCAGATATTTCATTAGCATTGTTCACCATTCAACATGCAGATTAGCATCATGTATTCTATATGAAGGACAATTATAGCACAAACAATAAGGTGCTTTTATCTAACTTCATTTATTAAAACGAATGAGATAAACGAATTTTAGCATCCTACTTTTAGATAAGGCAGAAAAGTATTATTTCATTGGTGCTTGTCTAAGCTATTGCGGATTAGATAGCATTGCTAAGGATTATAATTTTTTTTAAATGCGATAGGAAACTTAAAAAGGTTAAATCATTATTATATGATAATAACCGGCAAATATGCAAATGTCATTGCTTATTGTGCATGACCACGATGAATTCATGTGTACAAGAATTACGAAACCTGCCATAAACAATTTGTTCAATTATACTAATATCTATTAAGTCTTTAACATACGACAAATTTACGAATGAGATTGGTTCAATTACCTTGTTATAGCTTATGTCGTAACTAGTTACAGTATAAGTCGTAACAGTTTCTACACATCTCTAATGATGCATTATGTAATAGTAGATAAACAAGGTTCCACAATCGTGAATCCGCTTCAGATTAAATTCCCAAGCACAATAATAAATAACGATAACGTATGAATTTCCATATTAAAGACTTTTTTTCTCTCAGATCCCAAAATAAAGATATGTAGAAAATAACGAGAACTTCGGTTAAAATTCTTTCAAAAAGAGTATTAAAACGCATGTATTACTTGTGTTGACAAAACCCAGTCAAATCCCAATCCAAAAAGACAATTTAAATATATCATTTGCTAAGGTTATTAATAAAGCTTTTATTAGTTTGGCAAGAGATTGGGATTTCGGCGTAGATAATATCCAAACTACACTATACGTATAGTTTGGAAAAGAGATTAAATTAGTTAGTATGCGTTTGGTAGTACAAATATGCATTAATGTATAGTCGGTCATTATCATCAATAATTATTTTTGTCTCAACAAATTTTTTGACGCCTAGTGCGGTTATTTGGCCTTGTTCTTTGAACAAGAGATAGATGCATCATATTGAAAATAAAATTGAACCAATTTTGGACAAAGAGCTTATGCATATGTAGGATTACGCTTTATTATCTAACTCATGATATTATAGTCAAAGGTAATTTTACTTAGCATAATTTACATTGATATCATCATATTAAAAGATTCATAGTTTGGGTCAAAGCTAAAAAAAACTTGTGTTAAAATTGACAGACTCATTAATAATTTTTGCAAAATTTGTTCATCGGGAGAAGTTTTTAATCCAATATAAAACATTACATTTTGCAAAATCTGCATTCTTTAACCGTATCAATGTTAAAATTCTAGATATAGTATAAGTTGTTAATATTACAAGTTGCTAAAAAATTTTACCTTGGTATGTATATAAATCGTAAACCGAGTTTTTGATTGATTGTCTGGAGTGAAGCAGCAGACTCATACTTCTGCGCTCTTTAATCAAAATAACGTTTTTGATACATTCATAGTAAAAATATCCAAAGCGTAGTTTTGGTATTTTCTGGATGTAACATCCCTGAAAAATTTGATCTATGACATATATAACGAAGCTTTTTCCAAGGACTGGAGCGAGCTTCAGACTTATACCGGTTTCCAATTCCTAGTATAGTATAAATCGTTAATATTACAGATTGTACAAAAAGGTTTATATAACTTCTAATTTTAGATTTTTATTAATATAAAATAAATTATTAATATTCTATATTGTTAAAAATTTTTTTTCAATAATATTATAGAGTTGTAACCTTAGTAATATTTAATTAAGCAATAAGATCACCTAGTATAGGGATTGGTCACTGTAATTAAATATAAAATGAATATTTCGTAGTTTATTTTTATTATATATAGTAAGAAGCAAACAGTTTGAAATAGTAATAGTATATAATCAGTGTTTTTAATTTCTTGTTCTATTGATTAAAATTATATTCTATTCTAATTCCTATTGCTTTATTTTATTGTTCTATTGTTCTATATTTTTTTTAATATATAGTAAAGGCGAGGTTATGCCTTTAACTTTGTTGAAACTCAAGTATTTACAAAGAATAGCTTGCTTTTAAATTACATATGAATAATAAAGACTTAACATATAATCTGTAATCTAAACCTATTCTATTGTTCTATTTATTTATTGCTATATTAATATCTAATTATAATCTTATTGGCAATTTTGTTCTATTAACAAAAATTTTATTTTATTCTAAATTATATTGCTTTATTTTATTGTTCTATTATTTTATTTATTTATTGCTGCTAATATTGTATATAATGTAATTATATTTAATCTAAACTATAATAACAATCTTGTTTATAGAAATTACTTTAAAAAAGAAATATACTTTATATGATAAAAAGAAAATAAAAAATAATTAAATTTAAATTGAAATATAAAAACTTAGAATTAACAAAAAAAAAATTATATATATTTTTAAAATATAATAACTTTAAGTACTAATTAAATTGTTATTTTTTAAATAACAAGTCTAAAATTTAAATTTTATTAATAATAATTTAAAAAAATACAACTTTTATTATAACAACAATCTTTTATTAATTAATTGAATTAAATATTTATAATTTTGATTCTAATAATAAATTATTTTTTTTAATTTTAATAATGAAATACTAATAAAATTTAAAAATTTAAAAATTTATAAAAAATATAACATTATATAAATATAAAAAAATTAAAATTTCTTTTTAACAATCATTTAAATCAAAGTTTCCAAAAAGCTAAACTACAAAAAAATGACAAGTTACTATATTAAATTTTATAAAAACCTTTTTAAAATATTGTATATACATAGTTCAATATTGAAATAGAATTGAAAAAGGTTTTGCAGCTTTATAATGATAGTTTAAATATATTTTAAAACTATAGAAGAAGTAATTAGTGAAAGCCAAAAGTTTTTATCAAGTAAATAACAAAATTGAATATATAGTCAAACCTTTCTATAATTACATTCTTGGTTTAAAGAATTTGGTGTTTATAGAAAGTTTGTGCTTATATAAAGGTTAAATTTTATAAGTGTTATATAAGTTAGTTTTAAAATTTTATATGATTATAAGCAAATATAACTATAGAAGAAGTGATTATAGAGAGGTCTGACTGTATTAATTTTATATAACTATAAAACCTATAAGGAATATCTAAAAAATTTAAGAACTTACAGAAATTACAAAGTTGGTTTACCTCTTGTTTTTACTTTTTTTTAATAAAGATTTTGTAAAAAGTAAATAATTTAGTTTACTTTCTTCTAAAAATCAATATATAAATTATCAAATTAGTTAGCAATATTTATTTTCTAAATAGGTTTGTTAATAATATAGAACAAAAAAAATACAGTAATACTAATATACTTATATATTGTTTTAAGCTACTAAAACCTGTTAATACTGCTTTTAGACTAATTAGTATTATACATCAACTCTTATACCAAGTCAAAGTTTTTTTCTCTATTATAATATTTTGTTAAATAATCTAAATAAATAAAAAAATAGTAAAATTATTTTTATTTAGTATAGTTTATAATTTTTAAAGCCTAATATAAGCTTATAATTATGACTATTTGATATTTATAAATTGCAAGTTTTATAACTTTTTTTTTTAGTTACTTTTTTTTTTATTTCTTGTTTTGTATATTTTATTATTTACTTTTATATCTTTATATTTTTTTATATATATAGTTTTTTTTTTATCTTTTTACAAAAAGACATTATCAGATTAGTAATATCCTATTGTAGGCTAGTAGTTAGATAAGCTGTCTATTTCTGATTGGAGTAATGCAATAGATTGTACTTAGATACTATTTAGATAACTGAGTAATGCTAGACTTAAGTATTAAAAAAATTTATATAGTTTTAAGAATTTAATAAAGTACTAGTATAATTGCTTAAAGTAAATATATATATATATATATATATCCTTATTAGTATTTTTTTTAATATTAAGATAATCTCTTTCTTGTATTTTTTAATTTTAGTAACATATTTTAAATATCATAATTTATATATAACTATTACAAAATAAGGTTATATAAAAGAAGATAATAATAAGGAATAGGCAAATATAATTGGATGAAAAAATATATAGAAGAGCATATAACCAACCAAGATGCTAGAATAATTAGAAAAAAAGGATATTAAGGTATATCACATCAGACTATCTGGATTAGAAATCTGGAAAGTCTTTCAGATTCTGAGTTAGATAGTAGAGAAATAAAGATAAGAAATCAAAAAGATAGGTACTAGGGTTTAAATAAACTTTATAAGAATAAAAATAGTATCCCTTAAATTGTAATACAGGCAAATTTGCTTGCATTAATTTTTTTAAAATTAATTTTTATAATAAAATTTTAATAATTAATTTTAGCAATATACTTT